GAGTGGGGGGTGGGGGCTCAGCAGACCACAGCTTCCTGTGCGCACCCCTTCACAGGGGCCAAGCCCAGGGCGGGCCAGAGCAGAAGGCACTCAAGAGAGCAGCCAGGGTGCCACTCGGGGCTCTGCAGCCCAGGATGGAAGGAGACATCGTCAGTGGTGGGAACTCACAGCTGTTTTAACCCTAACTTAACACGGAAGATCTTTAACTCATACAGATCAAAATTCTGATTAGCAGAGAGGAAGCTAAAAAGCCCATTTTAAAATCCATAGTAAATATTTCCTTGTTTTATTGAAGAACAATTTTAAGTTCTTAATTAGTACATATCTATAAATTTATAAATGGCAATGTCAACGGAAAAGAAGTTTTATAAGTACCACAAACCAGACATCAGAAGTTCTCTTTAAAGAGTGAACGATCCGATCCGAATGCACAAAGGGATTCTGGCTCCTTCCTCTGTCTCCAAGGGGAACGTGAAGGCTCGGGAGCCAGAGGAGGGGCCTGTGGGACCCTGCAGGGAGGGGGTGGCGTCTTCCATGCCCGCAGCCCAGCCCAGTGCCTCAGTGAGGGCAGAGCAGAGGAGATCATGGCCCCAAAGCAAGGGCCAGCTCCGAGCCCACGTCCTCAGGGACACTGTCCTGTGGTGGGTCTCACTTCTCACGTCCCACGAGCGGGGCAGACACTGCATGTCAGCATCAAAGGCACATGGAGAGGCATCTGAGGGCCCTGTCAGCACACAGGGGGCCTCAGGGCCGCCCTTGGGGCTGCAGAGCGGTGAGTAGCCACGTTGGACAGTAGAGTACAGGTACAGTGGCAGTGCAGGAGTGGCCCCGGCCCAGGAGGGAGTGGGGCCCAGCAGCAGGCTAGAGGCTCTGCAAAGGGTTCCCCTGGGTGCCACCAGTACCTGTGACGCTCTGGACAGCACGGTGTTGACTGGAGCAGGGGACCCTGGTCCTAACCCTGAGAGAGCTCCTCTGTGACCTAAGAGGGCACACACCAGTACCTGTGACGCGAGGCCACACAGCACATACCACGGCAGGTTTCCAGCGCAGCTGGTCGAGTCGACAGGTCACTGCTGTTGGACTGGAAAGTAAGTTGGCTCACACGGAGCATCTGGACTTCGGAGATGCAGATACGAAGACTCGGTGCCTGACAACATGGACTTTCCACCGGAAGCAAAGTGTACCCTGGGGGGAGGACTCGCAGGCAGGGAGGCACTGCCTGCTGACAGGGACCCGAGGGTCATGCCTTTCTGCATAGATGCTCCGGCTGTGACGGTGCCTGCCCCAGGCCTCCTGGGAAATGCCCGGACAGCCCTTGGCAGGTGCCTCTGTGGCTGCAGGTGGGACCTGACAGCTATCACACTTTGAGTCTCTGCATGTGCCCAGAGAAGCCCATGGGCCGGGAACTGCCAAGAGGAAGGTACTTCCACCTGTGCGCAATGAGCCGGCTCCAGGCGCAACTCCAGGCCACAGGCCCACCCGAGTGTTCAAGGGAGCACAGCCGTGCTGTCCAGAGCAGAGTGTGCCACGGGGTCCTGTCCTGGGCTCTGTGGAGGGCGTGGCGGGAGCTCGGAAGGCCACCCAGCAAGGCACACAGGGCTGCCCTCTGCAGGAAAAGCCAACGCACATGGTTCAGGACTCTTCTGAGAGCCACACCCACCAGTGCTGTGCACACGGGGCCTGGGCACAGGGGAACGGTCCTGGTCGGCACAGTGCCCTGTCCAGCCACCAGGGGGCTGGTCCAGGCTGCAGACCACATAAGAACCACTGGCTTTTCCCACAAGGCACCGGGAACCTAACAGCCAGATGCAGCGAGCAGGTCCTGCTTGGATACTGATTAGAACCAATTAAAGGCTAACAGGCATTTTAGGTGTAGATGCTGTGTGTGGTCACGTGGGCAACTGTCCTCTTTCAGAGTCGCACGCAGGAATCCTAAGGAAGGTCCGCAGCACACCAGGGACTGTCTCCTCCTCTTCCTACTTCTTCTTTTTTTCCTGCCCTGGGGATTCAGACGGGTGCATGCCAGGCAGGCGCTCTACCACTGAGCTACACTGCCAGACAAGGGTCTTCTCTAAAGAGCGACAGGGACGACACCGAGGAGGGAGGGAAGCACGGCTGAGAGTCAGCAGTGCTACGAGCCACCTCCTGCTTTTGTATATTTTGAAAACTTCCTAATTAAGAAACTATCTCCAGAAAATCGGCTCCTTAACAGAAGACAAACCCAACAGTGAGCCTACTTCCCAGGAGGCCTGGAGCGCAGCTGAAAGCTCTCTGGAGAGGGCTGGCCTTGTGGTGCCCCTGCTTCCCGCACAGGGCAGCCCCGGGCCTGGTGGCAGGACTGGCCCACACCCACCACATCTGACCTGCTGCAGCCTCCAGGGCAGGCTCCAGAGAGAATGAAAAGACAACCTGTGTCCCGTCAGCACCAAGGCCCACATCTGTCAGGCAACTGACCAAGAGGAGAGGCGGCCGGCAGCCTCCCATGAGCACGGAGGTGGAGGAGGAACTCTGAATGCCGTACGTGTGAATTCTTCCCTAGTGCACACACTCAGGGCCCATTTTTGGAGCCACACACTGGGGAAAAAGCAGTTGTCCTGAACACTCTTATTCTAAGTAGTGCTTGGCTGCAGACCTGTAGTTGTCCACATGGGAAGCCACACCCAGCCTCAGAGTGTCACCCAGACAGCTGACCCCAAGGGGGCAGAGTAAGCCGGAGCCCCTCACTGCAAGCTCCAGCCAAGTGGACGGGTAAAGCTGACGGCCGGGCCATGTCCCAGGAAGCTGCTCCTGGCTAGGGCCTGTCCAGCACGGCCTAGGACAGCAAGACGGACTCAGTCAAGACACCCGACAGCCTGCAGATGCCAGAAATGTGTCTCTGCAAAAACAGTCGACCACCCAGGCAGAGGACTAGGGGCTCCCACCCGTGGAACACGATCGTCCCAAGTTTCCAGGGAACATTTGCAGAAAAATCAGAAACTTAGGTAGGATCAGAAAGGATACCCACTGCTAACAACCCCAAGATGCAGCCCCCCAGCTGTGGACTGGACCTCCTCCACGCTGCCCACGTAGGGCTGGCGAGGGGTGCACGGCAGGGGGTTCTCCGGAGCCCACTGAGGGACGCACCAGCCCTGGCCTTCACAGTGGTGTGCTGGGGTGTCCTCCAGCAGCCCGCAGGGCCGCTGAGCCCATTGCCTGGGACACTGTGGCTGCTGTTGTGGGGACACCGCCCCTGAGGAAGAGTGAGGCCAAGCCCCACGTGTTGGGGGCGTCCCTGCATCTCTTCTTCTTATCTGAGTTTGGTGCTGGGGATGGAAGCCAGGGCCTCAAGTGTGCTAGACAAGCGTCCCCCGAGCAGGCCCACCTGAGCCTGTCCCTCCTGTCCAGAGCGTGCCTCCCAGCACACCTGCACTATGACCCTCAGGTCTCACGGCTTCTGCTTGCTGCAGCCATGTCCTCTGTCCCCCCGGCAAAGAAGACCAACACAAGAGGACATTCTAAACCAGTGTCCCTGAAGGCCTCTATTCAACCACAGCACTGTCTGGTCTCAAGTCTTGGCACTGGGACAGTCTCCAGGACACCCCTGGCATGTGGGAGGCTGTGGTCTCCACCCGCCTTTTCCAAGGTCGGGGTCCGGCAGCATTCACAGGGGTACCACAGTCCACCAAGGGCCATCATGAATCAGAACTGCGTGACCTTCAAGGGTGTAGCACCAGCTTTGACTTGAGCCAAGAGCACTCAAAACCCAAGACCCCAAATCCACGGAGGCTAAACTGGTGCCTAGCTTTCACCCTCAGTACTGGGGGGAGGGGAAGCTGTGCGTCTCCGACATGTCAGAGCACAACAAATCAGGAATCAGGGGGAAACCCAAAGGGGACATCTAACACCCAGTCCACCTCTCCTGTGTCTGAACCCAGGCTCCTGAGCCCCACCCACACGGGCACACGGGGGGCGGGACCGGGCCTCCCTGTGCAGGGGTCTACAGAGGCCCAGGTGGGTTTCTATCTATCTGCTCTCCTGCAGTCAGGCTCTTTAAATTGTTCTGCACCTCGAAAGGGACTCTCTCCCCACGGGTCTGTGCAAAAGGGTTGCTGAAAAAGAGGCTCATGTCCAGGGGGGCCTCTGCCTCAGAGTCCCAGGAGCTCGAGTCTGTGCTGCTGGAGTCCTCGGCCGCGGTGGGCGGGTAGCTGAGCTGCTCTAACTGGTCGATGATGTCAGAGAACTGGAAGGCCGAGCTGGACTCGGAGCGGACTGAGCAGGCTGGGAAGTTAACCATGGAGCTGGCCTCGGACTGGCTGGCCGAGCTGGCCGTGTGCAAGGACAGCACACCAGGCAGTGGCGTGTCGCTGAGGGAGCTGGTCTCCACGGGGTGCCCCCGGCTCTGTGGGAGGCAGGCACGCACCTGCACTCCAAGCAGCTCTGCAGCATCGGAAGTGCCACTGAGATCACTCCCTTCTCCAAACTCCAAACTGTCTTCCACGCTCGCATCTATTGCCTCGGCAGAGAGGCTGTGTGGGCTGGACCCAGCAGACTGTAGGTGCTGGAAGGACACAGGTGCAGGGGGCTGGGCAGGGACCTCGGGCTCCTGAGGGACTACAGAGCTAGGTGGGAAGGAAAAGGCCTCAGAGCCTCCAGCAAAGAAAGAGATGTCTGTGGGGTCGTCGTCTATGAACTCCTCAGACACCTGCAGCTGCGCGTTTGTCAATGTGAACACAGGGCCTGCCCCACGGCACTGCTGGCCACACGGGTCCTCCCCCAAGGACAGGGGTGAGCCTGTGGGAAAGGCGTCCCCAGCAATACCATTACCACTGGCGGCTCTGAGCCCGGCCCTGGCCCCCCCTGCACCTGGGTCCACGGCACTGAGACTCCACCCCACAGGGCAGACAGAGCCATGGCCCCCCACCGCACGACAGAGCCCCACACCTGGAGCCAGCTGGGGCTCGGGGGGCCCGGGCGGGGGGGCTGAGGGCAGGCCGGGGCCTCCAGCTGCTGCTCTGCGGCTCCACTCAGAGGCTGCACGTTTGGCGTCGGGAGCTGGGGGGTCTATAAGGGGGCTGCTGCTGTCCTCAAAGCTGGGCAGGCCAGGAGGGGACCCCGGGGAGGAGAGGAATGGACCCCAGGAGACATTTGCTGGAGACAGGGAGGCAGAAGTCTTCAAGCCCTCGGCCAATGAGATGCTCTGCAGATCAAAATCGAGAAAACAAAAAGGAGCACATGAAATTACAAGTCACAATTAGAAGTGGCAAAGCCAACTGGGCCCTGCTTGGGATAGCCACGCACTTCTCACGGTTCTATGGGAAGGGTGACCGGTCACACCTGCCGCTTAGCACAGAGCATGGGTGATGCAGACTCACCTGCTCATGGTCCCTCATAATCCCCCTTTGTGACATGTGACATCTATGTCACGCAGCGAGTACCCCTCTGTGGCGTGGGGACCCTCATCACCTGAGGCTGCCAGCACAAGGGTCTGGTGCTCACAGCTCATGGTGCCACTCGGCCAGCAGTGCCACTGGCACAGTGTGACACCAGGTGGCCAGTCCAAGTCCACAGTCCAGGAGGGGGACTGCCCCTCAGTCCACACACACACCACAAGGCTGAGGGCCCCTGCCAGGAAGGCATCCTGCCCCCACCAGGGCAGAGGGACCTGGGCATCCCGAAGCCATGGCTCCCGCACAAGTGGGGAGTGGCCCACGAGCAGGGTGAGGATGGCCACAGGGATGGAGGGATGGCCATGCTGCCCCTGGCACGCTGCTTCCTCTTCTCATGTCACTCAGCTCGCACCCTGAGCTGCAATTGTGCTTGGAGAAAACCCTCACTCCAGTGCAGGCACAGCCCAGCGTGGGAGGCTGGAGGGAGAGTGGTCAGTCAGGAGGGGGACCATGCAGCGTGTGCCAGGCTGGGAGGGTGCAGCCACACCGGGGGCACTCGGGACGGGCAGCACAGGAGGGTGTTTCCCTGGAGGCCTGGCACCTCCCTGAATGTGGGCAGCACTGTCCAACAGGCAGGAAGAGTGAGCCCAGGGGGTTTGAGCCACTGCTGCTGCTCTGCCCTGGGTCCTGGGCTCCAGCTGCCCTCTCACCAGTCCTTTTCCAGGGAGCCTCTAGGCCTTTAGGCCTGGACTCCACATCACTGGCCCCTGTGGCTCTCCAGCCTGCAGTGGCCAGCGTGCTCCTGTGAGCTGCCTTGATCAATCTGCTTTTGTGGCCACACATGCACATGTCCCCTAGAGGACACGACGAGTACACAGTGTGCCTGTGCTGTGACACGGAGCAGGGCATACCCATGAGGTCAGTCTGTCTCCCAGGGTCTATCATACCACCTTTTATTTTTTTTTTTTTTAGTTTGGATTGAACTCAGGGGGAGCTTGACCACTGAGCCACATCCCAGAGCCTGTCTCTAAATAAAAGGCCTGGGATGTGGCTTGGTGGTTAAGTGCTTAGACCTTGATGGACTTGCAATCCTCCTGCCTCAGCCTCCTGAGCTGCTGGGATGACAGGCGTGGGCCGCACCTGGCTCATCCTTCCCTCCTCTTAATCATTCAACCACATTCAATATTCTCTTGGTTCTTAAGAGAACTCAAAGCTTCAATGTCATTTTAGACTGTTCACACTTGAAATTAAATTCAAACTTTATAAAGTAACAATTAAAACCATTCCTTTTTAAATCCAACTGATGTAACAGGAGTTTCCAGAGGGAGACACCTGGAAGAGCAGAGGCATGGATATGGAGCAGCGTTTGAGCAGAGCCTCAAGACACAGGTGCACACGCGGCTGCCGACAACCCCGCTCAGAGTCAGCCACAGGCCAGCGGGCGACAGGGCAGGAAGCACAGCCTGGGCAGCTGGGGCAGGCACACTCAGGACCCCCTGGAAGGAGCAGGGCTCCACGTGCAGCCCCTCATGCATGCAGAAATCAACACCCAGACACACCATCACACTGTCCTCAAGCAGGGGATGGAGCAGCAGCTGCTGCTCCTTGGGACGCTCCAGCCACATCCTTCTGGGAGGTATCTGTGCATGCCTGCACGACAACTAAACCTGGGCTGGGAAGCCACCGAGGGCTGTGCAGCGTCCCAGTGGGAAGGACACTGAGTGGCAGAGCTCCAGGCGGGGCCACCCCTGGCTGAAGAATCCCAGGGCTGGAGCTGCAGGGCCAACCACTGTGACAAGCTGAGCTTCTGGCTACGCAGGTGGTTTTCCAGAGGGTAGAGGCAGGGCCCCAAGGTTTTGGCCAGGGAGGACTAACCTGTTTTGGCAGGTCTGCAGTCAGAGCACGGAGGGATGCCTGGGTCTTGCTGTGCCACCTGCAAACAGAACGGGCAGTGAGTAGCCTCCCCTCCCAGGCCTGCTCCCACAGCAGGGCAGCTCCCACAGAGCAGCAGCTCAGTGGAGAGACATGCCAGGCGTGAGGAGGGCATCAATACCTGGTCCAATCCCCCACACAGAAAGAAAGAAGGCAAGAACAGCTCAGTGGGCATGAAGCTCAGACTGGCACTTAACAAGAAGTGGGCAGGATACAAGGAAGGAGAATCAAAGCAAAACAGCACCCCCAGGAGGGGGGGTCAAGAGGCCTCTCCCACGGGTTTTCAGATCACGAGTCACTGCGCTGTGTGAACCACTCCACGTCAGCTCAGCTCTGCACACGAGGAACCACACGTAGCACTCTCTATATCCACATATGCACGTACACGGGTACAACAGCTGTAGGGACCACAAAGCTGCCTTTTTACAGAAACTGAAACAGTCTGTAGCTGGGTGCAATGCGCATGCCTGTCCACCCAGCCTGTCATCCCAGCAGCTCAGGAGTCTGAGGCAGGAGGATCCCAAGTTCAAAGCCAGTCTCAGCAACTTAGTGAGGGCCTAAGGAACTCAGTGAGACTCTGTCTCTAAATAAAATATAAAAAAGGGCTGGGGATGTGACTGAGTGCTTAAGCACCCCTGGGTTCAACCCCCAGTTGGAGAAAAAAAAAAATTGGTGAATTTGAAATGACTTTTATTCAGATAAATATTAAAACTATTAATTTAAAAATATTTTTTTTAGTTGCAGATGTACACAATACCTTTATTTAATTTATTTTTTTTGTGGTGCTGAGGACTGAGCCCAGTGCCTACCACGGAGCCCCAGCCTCAGCCCCTGACATGTTAACTTTAAAAGCACAGACTTCACCTCCTGGAGATCCCAGGGCTCACCTTTCATACGGCGTTCTCCTCACCCCACCGTCTCGGACGTACTCTGCCAGCTGCTTCTGAGTTCTCCCACTGTGAACAAAGGCTCGGGTTCTCAAGAAAGAGCCAGCAGTGACCACAGGCCTCTGTCCTTGCTCGAGGACAGGCGTGTGCACATCTTAGAGTCATACTTTACAGTAAGCGTGTAGGTCTTCCAGGCAATGTTTCTGTCATGCCTGTTTTCTTTTCATCTGTGGGGCTGGGGACGTACCCAGGCCTTGCACGCGCTAGGCAAGTGCTCTGCCCCTGAGCGGCGCCCCATCCCACTATGCTGGTGAGCTGCGTCCAGTCACCGTCTCTCATGAGAACCTCCTGCGTGTGGCTGCTCGCTGCCTGTTCTGTCTGCCCGGCCCACCTCCCCCTCTACCTGGGGCCGGCCACCCTGCAGCCCAGGGCAGCCCTACCTGTATCGGAAGGAGGAGCCCCGGCTGAAGAAGACAGCTTTTGCCTTTGGCTTGGGCTGGTCAAGAAGTCTAAAAAAGGTGTGGTACTCCACACAGATCTTCCAGAAGTTCTTACACTCATCTCTGCTCCCCAACAAGAATTCTAACGTGTCCTGGTAGGGTCCCTGGGAACAAAACACAGCAGTTCAAGCAGCAAACCTGACGATAAGGTACTGGACAAGAGAAGGTAAATTCAGGAAGCAAATCACACATCAGGAAGTTTCAAAATTAAAAACTACGAAGGTTTTTTTCCTAAAAATTGAATATAAAGGCTTCTAGTTTTGTTGGCTTTGTCCAGTGGAGAAAGCCGTAGTGCGAATCTTCCCTGTGGACACTGTGGAAGAAAGCCCTGCACCTCACCTGCCCCCATCCCGAGGCACAACACACATCCAAACCCCAACCGCGGGGACGCCCCACGCCAGGGTCCCATAGGGACACCACTGCTTTCTCCTTCACAACTGTTCTTTAGGATATATTCCCAGAAACCAAATTCCAGGCCTGAACACAATTACTGTCCATAAGCACCATAATAACTCCTCTATTTAGTCTTAAAAATCAAGGTGCTGAGGGATGTAGACGTAACTTTGCCAAGTACAGATACCAACATGGCTCTGGGCCTTGAAACATCAGGCTATTCCAATTACAGTTGCTTTGATAACCTGAGCAAGTAATTATCTTCTTTCTCTACCTTCTCAGAATAACTGCAAGAAACAGGTGTGTACTCACAAGAAAAAATAGCCTTTTATTTGCGTTCTGTTTTCCAGTGCTGGGGATAGAACCCAGGGCCTCATGCATGCAGGGCAAGTGCCCCACCCCGCACTGCCCCCCCGGCCCTTCTCCCATTTATTTTGAGACAGGGCCTTGCTAAGTTGTGCAGGCTGGCCTTGAGCTTGGGGTCCTCCTAGCTTCCTGAGTAGCTGGGATGACAGGCGTGCACCACCCAGCTAGAGAGCTACGCAAGCACCCGACAGTCCATCGGCCTCAGGCTCCGTCACAGCGGATGTCCACTCAGCCCAAGGCCCTGCTGGCCGCGGCTCTCTTCTTCTGACTGGTCCAGAGTGTGCCTCAGCTGGCCTGGTGGGCAACCGGCCTCAGCCCAGAGGGTGCAGCTGGTCTGCTTCTGTCCCCAGTTTCCTCAGTACCCCGGGAACGTGACAATCTGGACAACTCTGAGCAGTGCTCTTTCCTCACCTATCAGACTGCACAGATATCTGCTCTTTCCATTTTAAATTCAGATGGAATCGTTCCTTTACTGACTGAACTCTAAGGAAAGGAGTACTTATCTCCTGAAAATCAAGGGTTCTTCAGTCAGAGCTAGTCAGAGGTCAGCTGCTGATTTAAAGGCATGTGACAAGACCAGGGCTGCCCTTTGATTCCTCTGGACAGAAGTTCTTACTCTGAGGCCAGGCACGGTGGCACATGCCTGTCATCCCAGTGACTCGGGAGGCTGAGGGAGGAGGACTGCAAGTCAAGGCCAGCCTTAGCAACTCAGCGAGACCCTAGGTTCTCTGCTTCCCTGGAGCCTTTGGCTCACTCTGGACAACGTGGACTTCGGCTTTGCCACCTGCAGAATGAGGCGGTGGTGCCCTGGACATGTGCATTCTCAGGCCTCCTTGGGCGGTGAGTCTGAAGCCCCAGGTGGAACCGGGGGGTGTGTGGCCTGTGGGACAGATGGCCTCATGTCTCTAGGCCCCACCTGTCCTTCAATGCTGTGTGCAAGGCACTGCAAGGATCTACGAGGTATTTTTTAAAAAATCTTTCAATATTCTAATAGGATAATGTTTTTATAATTTAAAAAGTGCTCAAAATACTTACATGGACCTCCGGGTGGAGTTTGATAAGAAACCGTTTCCTCTTAAAGCTCAGTTTACGGACCTTGGACCAGTTGAAGGTGTTGATTTTGGTGGTTCCCTGAAACAGACAGACAGGTGCAGTGGCTGTCACCCAGCAGACTCTCCTCCTCAGGCAGCAGAGAGGGCTCAGGGCGACCAGGACGACCCTGCAGCACAGTGGCCATCCGACACCCTCCATGGCCTGGGGAACAAGTGCGCACACACTGACTCTTCTGTGTCAGGAAGACAACCTGACTTCCTGGATGAGGCTTCATGACAATTTCACCAATCAGTGCTAATGTGACAGGGGACAGGGTGCTCGGGCTTCTTGGCTGAGCTGAGGAAAGCCTGAGGGCCAGGCCTGAAACAGAACAGGAGCAAAGGGGACGCCTGGCGTCCTCATCCCCAGACATGTGAGCAGGTGTACACGAGTGCAGCTTCGAGCCGGCTCCGGAGGGCGAGGCAGCAACAGCCAGAGAGCGGAGTGAGCCTGCAGGGTGGTGTGTGAGGACAGTGGCACATGTCCTCGTGACACCAGAGCCAGCCCAAGGCCACCAGGAGCATACGTGGGGTAGACATTTACTGAGTCTCAAAGAATTTGTCCAGAAAGTATTTATCTAGCCAGAGCTCTCTGTGCCACTGTCAAGCTTTTCAATGAACCTGAAAGGTCCCAAAGCAAGATCTAACAAAAACCAACAAGGACACTTTGCCAACACTCTAGTTTCTACACTGACACCAGTTAGCCTGCCTGCAACTATGGGGGAAGGCGGTGGGATGAGGAGTGGACCCTTCAGAGACAGCAACACCTTCACCTTCAGCTGCAAAGAGCATGACAGACAGCTGAAGGCCAGAGGACAGGGCACGCTCTGCAAGACTGCACCATGGGGAGGGCCCAGGACAGGCCCAGAGGGCGCCCCGCAGGCCGGGGGCTGGGGACTGGGGGAGCACTGCAGCAGGGTGGGGCTCTCCTCTACTTTTTAAAAAATACACCTTTTTTTAGTTATAGATAAATGCAATACCTTCATTTATTTTTTTCATGTGGTGCTGAGGATGGAAGGCAGTGCCTCCCATGTGGGAGGGGAGGGGAGGCGAGGGCTCCACCACTGAGCCCTGCCCAGCCCTCTCCTGTTCTTCCCTCCACTGCTGGGATGGAGCCGGGGCCTGGCACACGCCGCACACGCCGGGTGAGCATTCCCCACTGAGCCGCACTCCCAACCCTTCCTGTTATGACACAGGCCTCAAACTGGCCACCTTGCCTCACCTCCCAGGTAGGATCACAGGTGTGTGGCCCTGGGGCCACCTCTGAGCAGGGCGGGCTGGAGGCTCTGCCGCTGGAGGCCTCCCTGGGTGCCTGCCTGCCTGCCTGCCATCACCTCAGAGTTTCTGTTTCCCTCTCTCCTGACTTTCCTCTGCCTGGCGGTGACAACTCCCACCCTATCACTCTCCTCTGCCAGCATGATCCCTAGTCCTTCATCTGGAAGCACCTGCTTGTCACCTTGCTCTTCCAAAAGCATCCTGCTCGTTCTTACATAAGGACACACTGACAAGGTCTGAGGTGAGACTCGAGCACTCCGCCCCCGCCCTCCTACCATCCTGCAGCCCGCCGCAGCGCCCACTGCTCGGCTGCCCAGGGGCTGGGTGTGGAGGGTGCCATGCCCACTTTCCCATGGCCTCGCACCCAGAATATGAGCGTGCACCATTCATTTAACCGGCCTCTGGGGTTAATTCCCAGTATTTCAGGATGACAAACAAGGCCAGAATGAAAATTATAAAATGGATCTCACACTTGTGCCCAAGGAAGACTGCTTCTCTCAGCTCCACACAGCAGGGAGCAGGGTTCCGTCTGCCAAGCTCTGACAGGGGAAGGCTATCCTTGGTGGAGTTCTGCCCGTCTGTCTTGCCGTCCCGGTGCCAGCTCCACTGTTCTGAGTGAGCCAGTACCTCTCTACCAGAGGGGCTCTCCCCAGCTGCCCGCTGCTGGGCCGAGTGCAACAGCTCTCGGGGAGCAGGCTTGAGGCCTTCCTGGCAGGGCCTGGTTCAGTGATGCAACTCAAGGGCTTCCAGAGTGGCTGGACATCCGTGTGGTCGTGAAGGGTCTCCCTCGACTGCTTATCAGGGAGAAGAGACAAACCAGCAATGCCATAGAGGAAGGACCAGAAACACCCCTGCTGAGCACAGACAGCCCAGGCACCTGCGGTGCCCCATGCTGAAGGGCAGGACGGGGTTCCATGGGTCCAGCTGGTAAGGTACCCCCGAGTCTAGCGGGGAACAGAGGGAGTACATCGTTTCAAAGAAGAAAAACATGCTCTCCCATGCTGCTGAGGCCAGACGTCACGCCTGGTCCCAGCTAGACCCTGTCCTGGAGGGAGCAGAGCATAGACACTACTGCGCTTGTTGACCAACTGGAAAACAATGGTGTCCTGGAGAACAGAGGTGCACCAAGGGTGTCAGTGACGGCTGCACATGGCACCGGGGCAGAGGGCGGCACGTGCTGAAGGGGCGAGGGTGCATGCCACTGACTCTCACACGCCTCAGGAAACACTGCGTCCAGGCGTGGTGGCCACCTGTCACAATCTGGGAAGTCGAGGCAGGAGGACTGCAGAGATCAGCCTGGGCAACTTAGTGAGGCCTGTTTCAAGATATAGAAGGTTGCAAGTGCAGCTCAGTGGTGGGCAAGGAACACGACAGGACGAGGCCATGGAGCCACGATGTGGGAGGGCAGGGGTGCAGGCAGGGAGCCCGGCAACCAGCAAGAAGGCCTGGGGCTGTGGTTCAAGCGGTAGCGCGCTCGCCCGGGTTCGATCCTCAGCACTACATACAAACAAAGATGTTGTGTCCGCCGAGAACTAAAAAATAAATATTAAAAAAAAAACCTCTCTTAAAAAAAAAAAAGAAAGAAAGAAAGAAAGAAGGCCCAGTGCAAGCGCTCTAGGGCAGCCGGATGGAGCCCACAGGGCTCTGTGCACCTGTCTGCAGGCCGGAGGCCTCAGGGCCGTCTCAGCAGGGCCTCTTTGCCAGTGGCTGTCAGTGCAGGCCCAGCACCAGCGGCTCAGCTCCTTCCAGGCTCCTGAACTCTCTGGTCTACACTCCAGGGGGCTGAAACCCGGGGGGCCTGCTGTGTCCCCACTGTGGGCCTCCCTGAGTACTTTCAGAGAGGTGCTTCCCCTGGGCCTCCTGTGAGCAGACCCTGGTCCTCTCGGAGCGCAGCACCGGCTCCTCTGCTTCCCACCTGGGCTGCAGGTGCTCTGCACACAGATGAGCGGTTCCCAGCCACGGCATCCCCGCAGAGCTGCCCACAAAGAGCCAGAGCTGTGGTTGGGTGGGACTCTCAGGGGTGAGCTTCGGTTCAGCATTAGGACAAACAGGAGCAGGGAAGGGAGTGGGTGACCCTGGGAGGAGGCCCCTCAGGCACACACAGAGATCCACCTACAACACAGCAAACACCCCCAGTCGCTCGGCCCCCGCCCCTCCTGTGCCCGCCACCCACCTGGAACACCAGGACACCCATGTGCGACACGGCCAGGTTAATCTTGGTCCCCTCCCTGTCGGAAGCTGTGTGGAATCTGATACCATACATCTCCAGCTTGCGAGCAATCTCCAGCACCTGGAAATCCGACTCAGCAGGCGTCTGGCCCCTGTGAGGAAGGACACTGGATGGCATCACTGAGACCCTGGGTTTCTGTAACAGCCACACATATGAAAGAAGCCGTCCAGTAAACAGAGACACGAAGGCCAACCAGTAACCAGCAGGAGGTCCTGCAGCTGCGGCCTCTGTACCCACCCCACGGTGATGCGCAGGCAGAGCGCCGAGCTCCCCACCAAGCTCTCCCTAGTAGCAGAGTGCTCCTCAGGTTCACTGAGTGCTGCCGGAGGGACAAGGTCACATGCAGCCATCAAAATGAAGTCAGAGAAGAGGTCACTGATGACACCACTGACTCATCAAGGCCAATTTCATGTTTTAAGAAGGTATTTTCATAATGTACACTTCTAACCGCTACAATACACTTCCATAAAGACCAAGTAACAGAGTTGAATAAAAATATCATTCTCGGGCTGTGGCTGTGGCTCCGTGGTAGAGTACCTGCCTTGCATGTGTGTGGCACTGAGTTCAATCCTTAGCGCTACGTGAAAAAAAGTAAATATATCGTGTCCATCTACAACTACAAAAAAAGTATTTAAAAAATCATTCTCTAAACAATTGGCTTTATTCATATAGTCTTCCAAAATGTCATCTTTGCCCAATCCAAGGTGCAGGTGATGTCACCAAGAAACACTGAACATGGTCCTCGGGGAATCGAGTGGCCTCCAGGAGAGCCACGTTCACATGCACCTTGGCTGGGGCCAAGGAAGACACAACTATGGGCAAGCCACGAGAGCCCATGCCCACATGTGGGAGCGCCCGGGACCCCACAGCCCGCACCCACATGTGGGAGCTTACCTAACAACTCTTCCTTTTTGAATCTTCAAGGAACAAAGTGACTATGTGGGTTCTCTGTCCTTGTGACTTCTGTTCCAGGACTATGCTGTGGACACTGACCACTGCCTTACCTGTTCATGAACCCCAGTCACCACGAAGAGAACCCAGCACAAAGTGTACTGCATTTTAACAGGTTCCAACTGGAAATACTAATTATTTGCAAAGCCACCAGGTCACCCCTCTTCCTTTTGTTGTGGAACTAGGGACTGAACCCAGGGGCATTCTACCACTGAGCTACACTCCCGGCTCTTTTGAGACAGGACCTCACTAAGTTGCCCACACTGGTCTTGAACTCGCAACCCCCCTGCCTCAGCCCTCAGAGCTGTTGGGATCAGAGGCGTGTGTTACCATTCCATGCACAGGTGGACAACCACTCCACCTGTGGTTGAGGGGCCAAGGGTTTCATAACTATGTTTCACTACTCAGTTCTGTACTTCTCACAGGAACCGGATCCACAGCCAACTGCAAAACCCCCTCCCGCAGTTTCTAAGATCAAAAAGAAATGTGGCAACATCAAGGAAAACACATCTGGATATCTTGTCCAGGCTTATAAAGGATTTCCAGTGGGTTGAGGAAGAGCCATTAGAATCCTGAGACAAAGTAAGAAACTTACTTTGATTAAAATAAAGGTATACTATTTTTTTAAAAAATATATATTCTTTAGTTGTAGTTGGACGCACTACCTTTGTTTTTATATGGTGCTGAGGATCGAACCCAGGGCCTCGTGCTTGCTAGGCGAGCATGCTACCACTGAGCCACAATGCCAGCCCAAAGGTACATTATTAATTTTTTTTTTTAGTTATAGATGGACATAATGCCTTTGTTTCATTTATTTCATGTGGTGCTGAGGATCAAATCAGTGCCTCACACATGCTAGGCAAGTGCTTCAACACTTGCCTACAAAGCCCCCCAAAGGTACACTACTGTCTTTAAAACTTAAGCTGGGCTGGGGCTGTGGATCAGTGGTAGAGTGCTTGCCTAGCATGTGTGAGGTGCTGGGCTCAATCCCAAGCAACACATAAAAATAAATAAAGGTATTGGAAGAAAAAACGTGAGCAAACAATGTTATGATTTGAGGTGTCCCCTGAAAGCTCATGTGTGACACAATGCAGGAATACTTGGCGTTTACGTGACTGTGAGAGGTGTGACCTGAGCAGTGGGTTAATCCACTAATCTGCATTAACTGGGTGGTACCTGTGCAGCAGAGAAAGGAGTCACTAGGGGACCTGCCTTTGGGTTTCTCTTTTCCTCCTGGTTGTCAGTCTTGAGTTGTTTCCTCCTCCACACCTTCCAATAATGAAGTTCTGCCTCACCTCGAGCCAGAGCTATGGCGTTGGCTGACCATCGCCCGAGCACCTGAAACCATGAGCTAAGTACACTTTTCCTCTCTAAGTTGCTGCTGGGTTTTGGTCACAGTGATGTAAAGCAGACTCCAACAGAAACTGGGACCAGGAGTGGCACACACTGGAAACTGGATCAGAGCCATTCCTTTTATGTTTTAGCTAAGAACTTGTTCACATTTTGTCCATGCCCTGAGATTTTCTGTGAGACTGAATTTAAAGTTGATGAAGTAATTAATCTGCAGAGGAAGTTTCAAGGCAGCACGGGTAGGAGGCATGGATACTGCTGGCAGCTTTTAGCCAGGTTTACTGTGATAGGCAGAGCAGAGCAGGAAGATCTGAAAAACTTACAGTCAAGCTAGAAAACTGGGGCTGAGAAGGTGTGGTCAAGAGATCACAGCACTGAAGATTCGCTACGACCTTTACCAAGAAACAACAGGAAAGGTGACGTAGGGCATCTCAGGAACTGGCAAGAGAATGCCCACTTCAGGCCCGAGGTTGTAAAAGTGATTCCTCTGACAAGAGACCCTGGGGCACCCTGCTTGCATGAGGGGCCTGGAAATCACTGCATTGTGCTCAGCCACCCAGGCACTCAGGTCACCGCAGCCTGTCTCAGAAGGCGTGGCTGCTGCTAGGTGGCAGAGCCTGGCATCAGTCATGTGGTGCTGGTTCTGCAGAACTGCAGGCCACTGGAGTTAGTCATGGAGGCCAGGGAGAGTGCAGCAGGGTGGGAGTCCCCGAAGGCCGCCTCAGGCAACGCATGAAGATGTGGGAAGGAGGCTGAAGCTCAGTGGAGTCCCCCAAGGTAAGAGATGCTGGCACCATGGGGTGTCTGCTGAGGACAGCATCAGGAATTGTGCTGCGTGCTGAACATGCTCCCCAGCATCCTGAACCCATCTGTCCACTGGGATGGGCTAAACAGTGCCCAATCCACTCTTCCTCAAGGTGTGCAGACCCTGCTCTGTGTTTTTCGGCAGGGAGGAGTAAGTCCCGTACGGGTGACGGCCTCCCCTTGGAGAGGGCCTCAGGGTCTGGAACTCACAGTAGCGACACCTCCCCTGCCATCAGCTGGGGGAAAGCCACGGGGCACCCGGGGCAACAGAGCCGTCAGAGAAGGCAAGTGGACGCTGGGCTACCAGCACTGAAGACACCCAGGCAGCCTGCACAGTGCACCTAGGGCAGGGCTCTGCGAGTTCTCACCCGTGACAAAGGGACAAGGACAGGATGGACCACGTGGGTGTCCATGGACACGTGAAGCACTGGCACAGGGCCTGCTTGCCACGGCACTCTCTCTGATGGCAATGGCTGTGCCTTCTCCATCAGCTGGCTTGCTAACTATGTCGAAGCTGGAACCGTCCCCCTCACCCTTTCTCCCAGGCTATGCTGAGCCTGATGGCCGCCTGCACTGCTGCATGCCCAGCCTTCAGAGGGCCTCCCCACTGCCAAGCAGGTCTGCCTGCGGCCCGAGCTCAGGGACACTGGGGCTGTGCTTGCTGTGCACTCAAATTCTCACCCAAAGGAGTGCTTCTCTGATCTGGAACCGGCCGTAATGCCAGGCATACCACAGGTACTCCCGCCCACTGACTGGTCACAGGCATGTGACCCACCACACCTCACAGGGTCCACAGTCCAAGGGAGCTGCTCACACTGACCCAGCAGTGCCTGGCACTCAGAGCCTGCACAGGGGGTGTGAAGGCCACCGCCAGGTCGCAGGGCAGTGTCACCAAGGCTGCAGTGCAACATTCGCCTGAGGGCAGGAGGAGTCTTCCAGAGGGCAGGAGGGTCCTTAGGCCAAGTCCCACAACACCAGGAGTCAGAGCTCTCAGCCCCCAGGGCCCTACATCCTGCCTCAAGAGGAAGCTGCTGGAGTAGGTCAAAGAGTGGTTTTCAGCATGACTGCCACCAGCAATGTGCGCAAATGCTCCTTCTGTCCCACGCCACAAGTGACAAGTTGCTTCAGGATGAGGATCCCGCCTGGCCCTGGGGGCTGCTCCTGGGGGGGGGAGGGCCCACCTGGCCCTGGGGGGCTGATCCTGGGGGAGGGCCCTGCCTGGCCCTGGGTGCAGCACCCCTGGCCAGGTCCCTCCAGGAAGCAGAAGTCCCAATCAACAGAGCCTCTACTTGCCAGCCTCCTGTACAAGCCCTGGGGCCCTCACCCTGAATCAGCAGGGTCTGTGTCTGAACCCAGTCCAGGAAGCAGAAGTCCCAATCAACAGAGCCTCTACTTGCCAGCCTCCTGTACAAGCCCTGGGGCCCTCACCCTGAATCAGCAGGGTCTGTGTCTGAACCCAGTCTAGCTGTGACCTGTGTCAGCAGAGCCACCCTGGGGCCACTATGTGTCCTGAGGCTGGGAAGCAACAGGTGTCATTCCTTTAGAATCCCACAGAAGCCTGAACAAGGACCCCTTCTGGTTACGTGCCAGCAACTGTGACTGCAGCATGACAAGGCACTTACATGTGCCTCCGATGGAAGTCCAGGACCTTCTCGAGACAGCACTCCTGGCCAGGCAAGTACTCATGGGCCTTGAGGTGTTCTCGATCCAGGGCCTCATCGTAATCTCCTATTTCCGCTGAGACGAGACGAGACGATGGGAGTCAGTTGTTCAGATTATGAAATAAAGTAACAGACAAGCATTTGTATGTGCACATGCACAAACCAACAGTAAGAAAACCCACCCTAAGTCTGTAGTAAAATAATATATTCCTGTTTTTCCCCCCTGGTATTGGGGATTGAACCCAGAGATGCTTTACCACTGAGGTACATCCTCAGTTCTTTTTTTTTTTTTAATTTTATTTTAGTTGTTGATATGGACCTTTATTTTATTCATTTATTCACATGCAGTGCTGAGGATCGAACCAGTGCCTCACACATCCTAGGCAAGCGCTCTGCCACTGAGCCCCAGCCCCAGCCTCATCCCCAGGTCTTTTTTGTTTTGAGACAAGGTCTTGCTAAGTTGCTGAGGCAGCCCTCCAACTTGCCATTCTCCCATCTGAGTCATTGGGACCACAGGCGTGTGCCATTTTGCCTGGCAAAATGATATATTCCTAAAAAAACAAAATCTGTACCTTAGTTTTCCAAATATTTTATGTTGTCCAACTAAGAGGGCAGGTGGAAGGAATTTTTCCTGACTCTTAAAGAGCAAAGACTGGTGAAGGGTTTCAAAGAGGCTAATCATGAGCCCCGAGTCTGTGTGCTCACTATTTTTTACACCACACTTCATAAGTAAACTGTCTCATGGCCAGTGTGACCAGGTTAATGTATGTTATTTGTTTCAAGATGATGTATTTTAAATCACTTTTTCCTGAAGGGCTTCTCAAATTTCCTAAGAAATAATATCTGTGATTTCATGTTACTTTAAGGCCATAAATGTTTTTTTTTTAAGTATTTATTTTTTAGTTTTCGTGGATACTACATCTTTATTTTATTTTTATATGGTGCTGAGGATCGAACCCAGTGCCCCACGCATGCCACGTGAATGCGCTACCACTTGAGCCACATCCCCAGGCCCCATAATGTTTTTGGATGCAGTATTACATTCAATCATTTCAAGCAATACATGCTTCTGAAATGTTCTAAAACAATCCTGAATTCACAGGAAGGTTGCGAGCACAGCACCAACTGCCCACCTGGAGCCAATGGAGAGTGAACCACCCACACGGTGCCCATCCACGATGCCAGTGAGGACATTCTGACTCACAGCACAGTGTGGCCAGAGTGTCAGCTAGCTGCCTCTCCTAAGCGCAGGCCCGGCTCACAGAGCACAGCTTGCCCGTCTCTACAGCAGCAGCCCTGGTTCAGAGCACCCTGCTACAAGGCAGCACCCCTGGGAAAACTGCAGTGGGCCACTGTTGGTGCTGGCAGCCCAGCCAGACCACACAGAGCCCTCCACAAGTGCTTCTAGCCAGCAGCCAGGAGGAACCACCCAAGTGCTGCCTGTCAAACAGGGTCTCCGGCCCCACTGAAAAACTCAGACTCAGTTTGAGATTCCCTTTGAGAGTGTGTAGTGGAGTCCACAGTACAGGATGGCCAGCCCCAGGAAGGAAAGGGCGGGGACTGCAGATAGCCCCGCACTTACTGACCCCACAGTTCTTGTAGCCGTACATGCCAACCATCCTGCACTCACAGCTCAGAGACGTGCGTGTGTGAGGCGGCGGTGCTCCAGTGGGCGGCAGCGTGGGCACGCCCTCTCCAGCTGACAGGTGGCTCTGGGGCCTTGTGGCACATGTCTGCTTCTCAGGACCTCCTCCCACTGCTAAGGGACCCACCACCCTTCACACATCTTGCCTATCTCTTGCTGGTAGGGGACACTGTGGAAAGGCCTGCTTTCTCCTCCACCATTAATGCTTCACTCCTCCCAGAGAGTGTGGCTGGCTCCCAGGAGGCCCCTCTCTGGGTGTGCTGAGAATCTGGTTGATGGTCTAGATCTAGACTGAAGGCACACTGATTCTGCAACTTGTATTTGGGGTAAAAATGGGAGTTCATAACCCACTTGAATCAAAGGTATGAAAGATGATATGTCATGAGCTTTGTAATGTTTTGAACAAGCAATAAAAAAAAAAAAATGCACAAAGCCATAGGTGAGAGGAGACTCAAGAAGGACTGTGGCTACACAGTTCGGCCTCCAGCCTCGAGGTGGAGACACCTGTTAGGATGTCTTCACAGAAGGTGACCCTTGGCCACCAAGAATGAGATTCATGGGCTGGGGCTGTAGCTCAGTGGTAGAGCACTTGCCTGGGCACATGTGAGGCGCTGGTTTGATCCTTAGCACCACATAAAAATAAATGAATAAATAAAGATATTGTGCCCATTTACCACTAAAAAAAAAAAAAAAGACTGTGACTCAGAAGGCTGGGGCAGGTGTCTGAGGCCAGCCTTGGCAATTTAGCTAGACTCTGTCTGAAAATTAAAAAATAAAAAAGGCCTGAAGATATATCTCAGTGGTATAGCGCTTGCCTAGCCCAGGGGAGGCCAATGGTGAACACAAATTCCTCAGCACTGCAAACAAATAAGAAAACAAAGAATGAAATCAAGGTGAAGGCATCATTCTTTGAGGTGATCATGCATGTGCAGCAGCAGCTGACTGTGGCTCAACCTGAGTGCGGTGCCTAAGACCAGGCCGGTATAGCTGCGGGGGTGGGGAGTCAGGGACACTGACCCTGCAGGAGGTGGGCTGTGAGCAGGGCCGCTGTGGTGGCAGTGCAGGCCAAGCGCTCTTCCTGGAGGTCTCTCTTGAGTTGCAAGGCAAACAAGTACCTAGAAGGGAATTCAAGACCAGAGAGGTCAGCTCCAAATGTCCTCTGACAGCAGGAAAGCAAAGAGGCCCCAGAAGCAGCAGTAACCAGCAGGGAGCAAAATGCAGGGCCCCCAGGAAACAGCCAGGTCACAAAAGGCCTTATGGCAACAGGTGGCCCCACCCAAAGGTCATATGACAGATGGGTTCAGTAGACTGAACACAGCTCAGAGGACACACAGAAAGTGCTGAGCACCCAGGCAAAGCCATGCCCCAAAGGAACCATGCCCTCCAGGCACACCACAGACCCACAACCACACTGTGTGCAGCAATGCCTCCAGCTAGGACGTCCACAGACTGGTGGTATAAAACTGTACTCACAGTCTTGGGTGAAATACCAGAAATACACAATTAAGACACAGCTTAAAACTATGACTGGGAAAATCTTTAATAGACTGATAATATTTGTCTCAGCCAGCATCTGAGAAACAAGCACTATGAAATACAACTGATGATAATGTGAACAGAGAAAGCAGTTTGAAAAGATTTCCATGTTCACTTGCTGGGTAATGACTGAGCATGTGTTAAGTTCCAGGTCCTGGTCTCAGAGCTGGAATGCAATGGTGAACACTAATTCCCTCCCCTCCCTGGAATTCACAATGCAAACAGTGCAAGCCATTAAAATTTACTACATTCTCTTGCAATTTACGATTTGCTGCCTTTTGAACTCAGTAGTTCCGCTCCTACAAAATTTTTCTAGAGTAATATTCTTGGAGTTCAAAAATGACAGCTCTTTGCAGCATTTCGTCAGAGAAAAACTGGAATATGAGAATGACTGAGTGAATCCAGGTGCAGCCTGGGGCTCAGGCGGAAGGTCGGCCGCGGCTGCTCGTCTGCCACGTCTGCTGTGCCAGACGGCACTCGTCAGGAAGACTCCTGCCAAGCACTGGTACTTACCTGGAGAGTGGGGTCTGTGAGCAGGACAGAGAACTTCAGCTTTTTATTCTACATGCTGTGACGTGGAAAAGTTTTCCTTTTGTCAAAACCATGTACTTTTTAATAAATAAAAAAAGGGCTGACTGCTTAAAAATGAGGCCAAGGGAAGCAAAGGTCAAACTGACTCCGCGTCTGACTGCTAAGGTCGAGGCCAGGGTTCTCACTTAGAGGGCACTTCCTGTTACCAACAAGGGTTAGGAGACCTATTTCAGAGCGAGTCCCTCCAGAGACTCAACAGGCTGCCAGCTACACTCTGTTCACTCGCAGAGGCACTCTGTAGCCCTGCAGTGGGGTCCCCTCAACCTCAAAACAGAGGCGGAGGGCAAGAGCTCTCTCCCTCTCCTCGCTGTGACTGTCCCCGATTCCCAGATGTCAACATGACCTCAAGAAACCTTTCAGAGTTTCTGAGATGCTGTGGGTCCAGCCGGGACTCAGGGCAGAGAGGCGCTCTGCTGCTGCTATGACAAGGACCCCGTCCTCTGTGACCTGCAGCTGACCTGGGGCTTCAAGCTGGCTTTTAGGTCCTGTTTTAGTTCTTGCTCTCTCCGCTCTCTCTTTTTTTAACATACAGGAGGAAAAAAAAAAAAAGCACAAGAAAGGAGTTGCCATCTCCTTACTGACCAGATGACTACTATTCACACTGTCTTTCAATCATTTCTGCAAAAAAGCCACCTTGAATTAAAGGGAGTAGCACAAAAGAAACGGCCTGACGCCTCTGCTCCATGCATCTGCAAGGCCTCCCAGACTGAGCTGCTCCCTAGCCCACGGGGGCTCTGGTTCATGCCAGGCCTGCTCCTGGGCGGAGGGGGGGGGGTTGCCGGCACCACGCTGCCCTGACCCAGCCCTCCAGCCTTCGTTCTCAAGTCCCCCCTGCGACCTTCCTTCTAAGCCTGCTGTACATCCAGGTCTGTGCATGAGTCACTGTCACAGCGCTGCTTTAACTACTCTTCACTTTCTGTTTTTATGTGTACACTAACTCATCCATTCTTGATCATTCATGGTAGAGAGATAAATACAGGACCCCGGGGGCCGCAGCTCCAGTGCAGAGTGAGCTCTTCACCTTGTATATTCTTCTTGCAACTGACCAGGATCAGGTGGGAAGAATTTCACAGCTAGGCGAAGCACTGCATTCTTTGGTCCTATAAAAAGAAACTTTTAGATTTCACAAAAGCTGATTTTTATATTAATTCTCTTTCCCTATATTACTGTGTAATTGGGTGAGTGCTTTAAAATGGGCTGGGCTGTTAAGCGTTTTCTCCTCTGGTAGGATGGTATTAAAACATTTCCTGTGCACAAATATGAATCCTAAGCACCAATCACACATACTGAAGAGAAATTTAAAATCTTTTATTTCCCTAAGCAGAGATTATTTTATAAATCTTTTGAAACTGCCCATTAAATTGTGGAATATATTCCTGGGTAGGGGTGTTGCTCAGTGGTAGAGCACTTGCCTAGCATGCATAAGGCCCATGTTCAATCCCCAACATCATTAAATTTTTTTTTTAAATCCCTGTTTACATTTTAGGATAAAAATGATGAAGTTCAAGTGTTAATACCATTTTAATGCAGTAGTAAAAAAATTTTTTTGAAATCCTTATATATATTAATGAAAGAAAATGTTACTACCACTTACTACACTGAACTAGAACTGATTTTTGTAAGGAAAAGGCATAAGATATATATAGCTGAACTGAATGTCTTTGTGCCACAGAAATTTAATAGTAAAACAGCTATGCGATTTCCACCACAAGAGCAGCTGCTCTTTCACCCGGCGGCCGTCACCGACCACTGTCGCCAAGTCAAGTCTCGGGCACTGTCTGTGACTGCACACACCAGATTTCTCCTCCACATGTGCCTACTGGTGTGCTGTAGCTAGCTGCACATGTGGTTGGATGTATGGTTGGATGTTTGCACATGCCCACAATATAATAAGGAGGAGCCATTTGCTAAGACACTAGGGAACCTAAACAGCCTTAGCTCATCTGTGCAGGACAAAGTTACTTTCACACATCCTCTTGTGTTCAACTTTGTACTAGAAAAAAAATAGTTATGGTGATTCAGAAAATTAGAAACTTTATCGTATATGATATATATAAGAACTGAGGACTATTACTGTATGCCTTCATATTTAAATTTAATAAGGAAACTAACAAAAACAATTATGCTCACAATTACAATTACGTTTATCATTATGGAACAGTATTAACATTTTATCAAAATGCTACCTATGGGCTGGGGATGTGGCTCAGTGGTAGAGCTCTTGCCTGACCTGCAAGAAGCCCTGGGTTCAATCCCCAGCACACCAAAATAAGTAAGCAAGCAAGCAAGCAAGCAAGCAAGCTACCTAAGAGAGGCACCATACTGCATTTTCACAGCCTGTATACAAAGTGCATGCTTACTGTTTTACATATTAGCTAAAATTTAAGATACCAAACAATATATCCTATAACTTCCAATGTGAGGTGGTCACCCAGGACCACCTGAGACAGATGTGTCATCCCACCCACCTCTCCTCTACAGCTGGAATCAAGAGCAAACAGCTTCTAAGCTCATCTGCCGTGGAGTGACACAAGTGTGTGGACACACCTGGAGCCTCAGCATTCTACAACAGGGCATCTAGTGACCACAGTCTTATGAGAGTTACACAAAGGACTTACTTCGTACTTGCCTAATGATGGGTTTCATAGGTTCAAGCCAAATCTAAAGAGAATTTAACAAAAGAGAAAAACTCGATTAATGATTTTCCTATTTAATAAGTGTATTTTGTATCTTGCTATAAAATACAAAAATGCTTATGATTAAGAGAAATTTTTATAACAGAGATATTTTGACTCTACTCCCTTTTTATAGAAACCAAATCTCGACAAACCATGGGAAGCTCAGCAATGCCTGCTTCAAGAGCGGGGGGTGGGGGGGACACTAAACTGCTGTCACACTAGTCATCTCTCCTGAGCCCAGCACTCAGTCACTGCTCAGGACAGGCACCAGTGATCACCTCCGGGATGTGTGGTCAACACCATATGGCATTCACAGACCACAACCCCCGAGAGGGCCACTGCATGAGACAGGCCCTCTGTGGCACCAGAGCAGAGACCCTCGGGCCAACACAGCTGTGCAGGGACAGCTGAGGGCCAGACCCAGAGCTAGAAGCCGACAACATGCTTCCTGAATGGAGAGGTTGATGTGGGTCTCTTTATGACGGTCGCATCTAAGAACACTGGAGGATCACACTGTTTAAGGTTTTGTCTCTTAAGTAAAACAAGGCAGAACCAGTTCAATTTGCTCAAAATTCACTTTCAAAATGTTTACTAGGCAGATGCATCCAAGGCTGCTGTGTAACTTGGCACACAGTGCTGTAAGCAGAGTGGGTTTAGGGAGGTGTGAATTCAGGTTCGTTAAAGCCGGACATGCTCTTTATGGCTAAAGATAAAGCACTTTAATAGCACAGATCTGATAAAAATAATGTTCCAATAATCCAATAGCTTGCCTTCATCCTTACAGAAGGTTCCAAAGGCTCTACGGCACTGAGTACGTCATAAACATCCTGTCACTCAGTCACAGCCTGTTTCCAAAAGCAAATCAAAAGCACGTACCCAGTGGGACTGGACGTTCTGAAACTCCAACCCGAAGTAGTCGCACTCGATCAGGTTCAAGCGCTTCCACACCTGCATCAGCAAGAGCTGGCCAGTACACTTGGGCTGCGGAGAGGCGAGAAGAGCTTGAGGGCCAGGCGACAGGGACGGTCTGGAAAGCTGGCACAAAGCTACAGCTCTCACACGAGGCGCAGGTGGCCCTGCTGCACTTCACCTGCGTATGAGCAAGATTCACACACACCACAGAGCACACGAGTCTGCTGAGGCATCTGTGTTTATCCACTGATAGCAAAATAAATGTACAGCTCAAAAGTCCTTCCATTTTACATCCTTACTGTGTTTTTAGTTGTATTTCTCTGGCATATAATGATTTCTAGTTTCAGTAAACATTTCACCAAATAATTTTGACATCTGCTCAAAAGTAGAGTTCCACAGTCTCTGTTCACACAGGCTCCCAGTGAATAATTTACTATTTGACAGTATTTTACATTATGGAGAAGAAGTGAACTGTTCAAAAACAAGGTGGGGCATGTCAGCTCTCCAGAAGAAAAATAAAGTGATGTCCTACTTTATACTATTCACAAAAACAAACTGCAACGATTAAAGACTAAAATAAAACAGAGTAGACTGTTTCTATGCTCCTGGGGATCATAAATCATAAACAGGTGAAGTCTTCCTAAGCATAGCCCAACAGGAAGACCAGCAGTCTGCCTGCCCAGAGCTCCTGAAAAGGAAGATGTCTAACAAAGCTACGATCTACACTCACACTAAAAAGTCAAGACGGGCCTGTTTCACTCCTGGCACTCTTGGTGAAGAAACACAACAGGTGTTAGGCATTTAAAAAGGTACTAAGCCCCTCTGACAACAGGATCAACTACAACAGGGAGACCTCGTGTGCCTGTGAGAAAACAGCCCCACACAGAGCTGGGGGTGTAAGTTAACATGACCTGGGGAGGGGGAAAGTGAAGATACTTTTCAGAATTTCAAGTGTTCATTTACCTTTGCCCCAGCAACTCCACTTCCAGAATGTTCCCTACAGATATTCTCATAAACTGCACAGAGCTAATTCCATAGGACAAATTCAGCAAAGGGCTGGTGGAGTAAGTGCTAGCCCAACCATACTGGAAAAGGGTGCAAGCCCAGAAGAACACGGAGCTCTCTGGGGCTCATGGAGCACAGTCCACCACACAGGCTGGCCGAGAAGAGAATCCCAGTCTGCATTCCCATGGGGTGCAGGTGACAGGACAGTTTTCACACACACACACACACACACACACACACACACACACACAGTAGAAATAACTGTAATGGCTACACACTAAATCTTTAAAGTAACCACCATTATAGCCCTGAACAGAGGTGGGAGGCCAGGGGCCTCTTGTTTCTTCAAGTCTGTCATCTCTGAATGAGGAGGAACACATCATTTTTACAAAATAATATGCCAGATGGATGTGGCGGTGCCTGCCTGTGACCCCAGCTACTCTGGAGGCTGAGGCAGGAGTATCCTGAGTTCTAAGGCCAGGCTGGGCAACTCAGGGAGACCCTGTCTTGAGACAAAACCAAAAAACAAACAAACAAATAAAGAACCCAGAGTCCCATGCCAGTGAGGAAAGGCAGATCTCTGTTGCTCCCTGAAGTTCCACCCCAGATCCTGTTACCCGGTGCTCACGTTCCTAAGAGGAGACTTCCTGGGAGGATGAAAACCTGCAATTCCTCGTTACAAAGAATTGTAACAGCGAAAACCTCCTCAAAATGGACAGTGGAGATGAGCCAGTGACCTTACAAATACGTTAAATCTGATTTCATTCTGGTACTGGGGATTGAACCAGGCTGCTCTCCCACTAGCTGCACCCTTAGTCCTTTCTGTTTTGAGACAGGGTTTCACAGATTGAGAGACTGGCCAAGAACTGGCTGTCCTCCTACTTCAGGCTCCCAAGGACCCGAGAGTCTTCTGGGTTGATGCCACTCTGATGCGGTGGGCGTCTCAGAGGGGTACATCAGTGAGTGCTCCTAGCTCAGGAGATGCAGCTGCACCAGCCCTTTCAGACTGAGCACCAAACCTCCAGGGTTGGCTGGCCAAGAAGAAATCATGGCGGAAACCAACTCCTCCCAGGAGAGATTGGACAACTCAACATTTTTTAGGGCTGGGGATATGGCTCAGTTGGCAGAGTGCTTGCCTTGCATGCACAGGCTCTGGGTTCTATCCCCAACTCCACAAAAAAACAAACAAATCCGTACAGAAATTAAAGATAAGAAAAACACCGACAGCTCATGCTTCAGACAAAGGGCTGATTTCTTCAAAAAACATGGAAATGCAAGAATCCTGAGTAAAGATGTCACCTTAACTGCAATGTACGAAGCATCCTGACGGCTGACCTGGGGAGGTCCTGGGAGCTGGAGCAGCCAGTGGGCGCCGAGCCCCGCCACTCTTGCTCACAGGCTGCTCACCGACAGCCTTCAGGTACACACAGGGAGTGGTGGAAACAGAGGCGTGGAGGCTCCAAGAGCACAGTCGGAGACCCACAGATCCAGGTCACGCTGAGGTACTTTTTTTGGTCTATCATTGGCAGAACCTGAAGAGTCGGAAACAGGTGTGCTCACATGGGGCTGGTGAAAGAAACTGCATCTTCCAGGGAGCCAAAGTCAAACACACCCTCATCTCACAAATCATGCTCTAACAAGTACCTCACAGGTGCAGAACAATGCATACAAAGAAACACGTGTTATGCCGGGGGCGGTGGTGCACACCTGAAATCCTAGCAGCTTGGGAGGCTGAGGCAGGGGAATCATGAGTTCTAAGCCAGCCTCAGCAAAAGTGAGGTGCTAAAATGTTCTGTAGGGAACATTCTGGAAGTGGTGAGACCCTGTCTCTGAATAAAATACAAATTAGAGCTGGGGACGTGGCTCAGTGGCTGAGTACCCCTGAGTTCAATTCCCAGTACCCCCTCGGAAAAAAAAAAAAGAAATGTGTGTTACAATAAGGGTTCTGGTAGCAAAGGATCAACGTACTCTAACTCTACCAGTCTATGACTGCCTAAAAGTTACTGAAATCAGACAATGCTATTCCAGACAGAATTTTAAAAAGTCAGTCTGCCGTGTGCTAAAAGGGGAAGGATTCTTGAACATACCAAAAGAAGAAAGGAAGGGGCAGAATAGCACAGATGCCACCGTGTGTGACAGTGGCACATTGGTGAGCATGTGTGACGTGAGGGAGGGAATAAGTTGTACACAGATGTGTGTGTGGTGGAGTGTGTGTGTGCAAAGCTGGGGCATGGGCACGCATGTGTATGTGCACAGGCACTCTCTGCAGGAACCACCACAAGCCGGCAGCAGCCCGGGTTCCAGAACCCAGCTGTGTGCACACCTGCCTACACTTCTCCCCCGTCCTGTGGCACGGACCAGGCCTGTTAGGTCTGGGTAAAGGCAGGCTGCATGCCGGAGGAGGGCTGTGGACACACCAGGCTCTGCACAGGGTGGATGAGGCAGGTGAGGGTGGGGGTCAAGAGGGGCCGCAGCCTGCAGAGGGATGTCAGGCCACCAGAGGGAGGGCATCGACACTGGGAAGGGACCCTGGCCTGGGGGCCAGAGGTCCGGCTTTGCCCATCAGCAGGCTTTGGGGAATGAAGGCCTCCAGGAAACAGCTGGCACACAAGCCTTTCACAGGAAAGGGCTGATGCCAGATCGGGGGCAGGGAGGGGACAAGCTGAGCGCAGGCAGAGAAGCCCTCAGAGTGAGAGGCCATGTCCAAAGGAGGGAAGCGCTCCTCACTGGCCAAGTCTGGGGCCACCTGAGCATCACAGCAAGCAATGGCAGTGCCGTGGTTCAGAGGTGCAGAGCCTGGGTCAGGAGGGCCTTACCTAAGCAGTGCACTGCTCCCTGACAGGGAGTAGCCGGGTGGTAACCGCAGGCAGGTGGGGTCTGGCTGGGGAGGTGGTCCTGGAGGCGTGCCTTCGGGTGTATATTTTGTCCTTGGTCAGTGGGGCTCTCTCTCTCTCTCTGCTTCCTGGCTGCCAAGTGCTGAGCTGCCTTCCTCCCCCACACCCTCCACCATGACGTGCTGCCTCACTCGGACCCAGAGCATGGAGTCAGCATCTGTGGACTGAGACCTCTGAAATTCCGAGCCCAAGTAACTTTTCCTCCTCAAGTGTTCTTGCCGGCCTTTCGTCACAGCAGGGGGCCAGCTGACTAAAGAGGCAGAATGAGTGGAACCCACTGGGCAGAACAGGGTCCAGAAGCCCACCTGATGTGAGAACTGGTTCCACACTGCGAGCAGAGAGAGGGTGCAGGGCCCCAAGGGGGCCCCCCACTGGGGAGCGGCCTGTCCAACTCATCCCACCAGGTGGCCAAAGTGGTCAGCACCAGAGATGGGTCAGACTCAAACCCAGCGCCATGTAACTAGATGAATGAGAACCCAGCACCCTTCGGTGCCACCCCTGCCCAGGGTGCACAAGCTGGTCCACGTGCAAGGAAACTGCGAAGCCAGAAGGTCTCACCCAACTGCTGTGCCCCTTGTAGTCATCAGCTCCCCTTTACTATAACAACATACCAGAGGCCGTGCACCTACAAGGACAGGAGACTCATTTGGGCTCACAGATTTGTAGGTTCTGGTCTAGGGGGTGGGTGTTGCGTTGCTCAGAGGCACTGGCCAGGCAACGCGCGGGGCAGCAGTGTTTAGTGGAGCAAGCAGCTCAGCTCACGACCAGAAGCAAGAAGAGCAGGAGGAAGGGGTCGGTGCTCAGCCTCCCCCTTCAAGGGCACCCCCAGGCCCAGACCCTCTCCAAGCCCCACCTCACATAAGTCCCACTAGCTTCCCACACGGGGCTTTTGGGAGGCACCCAGCAATGAGGGTGGGGACATCAGGGCTGAAGGAGGCCAGGAGAGGCATGGGCCCCTGTCCTGCGTCATATCGATGAAGAGTCTTCGAAGAGCCTTATGTTGGCACAAAGTGCCCTTGAGAGTGTCAGGCACGGGGCTGGCAACTCACTCTAGAGTGGCAGGGAAGAAAGAGTCTTTGGCTCTTGTTGCTTTTTTCCTTCGAGTTTTAAACTGCTTTAAAATTCAGAATACAAACACTTAAAAATACAGAATCTTGGCCTCCAAAATAA